AAGGCTTAGCTCTTTTTGGTGCTGGGAACCCTGAGGACAGGTGAAGGCTCCAGTCTTCTGGATAGCTCCAGAATACCAAGTTCCCCTAGTTGTCCTCAGTGGGAGGGGGGTAACACTAAACTGGTGCTGGGGGTGGGTCTGATGGAACTGACGCTTCCTCTCTACCACCTCCCAGTTGGCTTGGATTCTGGGTAGACTGAAGACCATATACTGAGAGGAGACTTCCTCCTCTCAGATGGAAGAAGTAGCCGTGGGGCGTGAGCCCCAGGGGGGGCAGGGATCACTTTTATTCACAGATACAACCCTTGCCCCTGGAGTGTGGCCTGGTCACAGGTACACACTACATTTCCAAAAAGTTAATAAATGACCATTATGTTAGGGACCAGCTCTGAGCACAGTTTTACAATGGACAAGTTTGCTCTCAGGGCACCAGAAGCCCACCATTGCTGGGTCCATCTCTAGGGTGGTTTCCCTTCCCTGAGACATCTGGTCATGAGCCTGCATGTGACCCATCCCTCCATCTGAAGGGTCTATCTCCAACTTCAGCACTGTCTAGTTTCCCCTTGAGCTTCACAAAAGTTTGGTCTTGATTTAAACACATCAGATACTGAAGATCAGCCCATCCAGAGGGTGGGCTGTGAGCCTCAGGCTGGTGCTGACACTCCCCGAGGGCTGGGATGGGGCAGGCCAGCTGGGAGCTTAGATTCTGAGAGGATGTGAGCAGGTCAGTTCCATGAAGGCCCAGCCAGAAGCCCTCAGGGTCCTTGGGCTGTGGCCTGGAAAGAGGAGGGGGGAGCAGCCAGCAGTGGCAACTGTCTGTTCATGCAGGATCTGCCATTGCCATCCTGATGGGCATAACACCTGCCCCCCGACGGCCTCCCCTTACTTGCAGGCCTGGACTTACCTGGAGATAAGAAGGGCTTTGAGTTCTTGTCAGAAATGGGAGTTGTGGGTACACTGGAGAGGACTGACTGTGGTCTCACATACCCTCAGGACCTGCCACAGGGACAGCATTAGGGCCTGAGACACAGCACCCAGCCCCCCTTTCCCAACAGAGGGCTAAGGTGGGTCCTCCTGGAAGGGGCAGCTCTTGCACTACCTGTTACCTGGTGAATGCTCTTTGTGTGGCCTCACTGACTTCCTTGGGCCACGCCTATGCCATGGGTGGGCCTCTGGTTTTAAAGCTGGAAGAGGTGGGGTGTTTGCCCAGAACATCCTTTGTACCCCTGTACCTCTACCAGCTCACGCTTGTTAGTGAGCAACCTCTATCCCATATTTGCATCAAACCACTTAAAGCTGCTTCTTCCTTTCCCATCTTTTTGTGTCCTTTTGTGACTTTTCTTAACTTGGAAACTGCCTTTTCTATATTAAAACAGTGGGGTAGGTACACCCGCCCAGTCCTGGATCTACGTTCCCTGGGGCTGCTCTGCACTCAGGACTGTGCAGACTCTGAGGATCATGGACCAGAAAGGGCAGAGGCTCCATGGTGAGGAGAGTCGTACCTGGCAGGCAGAGTGGGCATCCCAGCCCTTGGACACGAGGGTCTGCAGCTGGGGCATGAACTGATCCACAAACTGCTCACACTGAGGAAGGAGACAGACACGATCAGATGTCGGGGGTGGGGGGCGGGCCCTGACCTGGTGCAGGGCTCCTACACGGCAGCCTGGCCTCTCCACTTCGCTAAGATGCCTCCAGGGCTCCCTGACCCAGCGTAGCTCAAACATCAGGTCCCACTGAGAAGCTCTGGCTGTAAGGCTGAGCAAGCCGGTGAGCTAAAATGGGGGGTTCCTGTTGGCAAAGACAGAGACACTGGAGAGATGGTGGGTCTTAAACCAGGCAGAGGGGCAGAATCTTAGCTGCCAGCTTCCCCTCCTCCCAAAATATCAGTTCTGGAAGAAATCCTAAAGTTCATCTAATTGTTGTTTTTGTTGTTTTATAAAGGTTGATTTATTTATGCATACAGAACTGGGTATAGGCCAGAGGTGTGTGTGTGGGGGTGTGTGTGAGGATTCCCCAGAGACAGAGTGGGGAGCAGAACAGGCAGATCTATTGAAATACACTGCTGAGGGGAGCAGCGGGGAGGCAGGAGAGGTCTGCTGCGCCATGTGGGGCAGCTCCCTGGCCGGGGATCAAATCTGTGTTGTAGTGGCTGCAATAGCTGCAATAGCTTCATGGTGCTGCGCTTTACCTGTTGTGCCCCCAGGGAGGGCCCATCTAATCTTTGAGAGCTGATGGATGAGAGAGGGAACCCTGAAAGTCACAGAGCAGGGGGTGCCAGGCAGAAAGCTGCCTCTGGGCAAGAGTCTGTGGGCTGCCTCAAGATCTCCCTTTATGGGGGGATTTACTGTCATTGACTCTGAGAACTGAGACTCGCAGACCCTTGAGTCTGACCCTTGACCCTTGACCCCAGCTGCCTTTTGCAGGTGGATCTATCTTTCATGAGTCACACCAATGCGAGGAGTGGGGACAGAATAGAACCAGGACCCTGGAGAGAAGGTCAGGTTCTGACCCATTCCAGGCTGCTCTGGGGTTACTCATCTCAGTTCGCTGCTGCTCATCCATTAGAGAGCCCGCTGGTCTTCTAGGGCCCAGACCCTTGGTTCAGAGTTGACTGCAGGCCTTAGGTTGACCCTAAGTTACATTCTCACCCATCTGATCTGAGCTCTTCAAAGGCAGGGTCCAGCCCACTCTGGTGTATCTCTGGCTGGAGAACCCTTCCTGGCCTCACCCCTGCACCCCAAACAGGGCCTGGCTCCTGTGTTCATGTGCCCACCACAAACCTTTGGCCTGTTGAGCCAGGAGCCAAGGCAGGCCTGGCGCATCGCCTGGGGCATGGCCTGCTCACTGCTGTTGCCCGCCTGGGTGGCCACAAACACGCAGAGTTGGCACGTGGAGTCTTGCGGTAGCCAATCTCTCGACAGGGACTCCAGGGGAGCGAGCGCTAGAGGGAAAACAGGCACGGCTGTCCGGCAGAGCTGCCTGTCCTTGCGGGCACAGCGCATGGACTGGAGCGGGAGGGGTTGTGCGGGTCCAGGGCAGGGGGAGGATGAGATGGGCACCGTCGGGGCCAGGGCGGCAGGCTTACCTAGGCCAGCGCTGTCCTCGCTGGAGCACCGAAGGATGAGGCCGCAGACCACCTGGGGCAGCACGCGGCCTAGCAGCGCTTCCAGCAGGATGACCGTGTAGCGCTCGGCCAGGCACTGGCAGATACCGCCCATCACCAGGGGCACCACGTGGCACACCTGGGCCACAGCCATACCCAGCACACCCTGAGAGGGGCCGAGAGAGGACAGGATGGGACTTCCCTCGCCAGATCTACTCTGCGCCCAGCAACGCTGGACACTTTGGAGACAGTCCCTCGTTCCCTATGGGAGGACACTCCCTGTGGCTATAGCTAAGGACAGCGGGCGCTGGACAGTCCAGTGGGCTCCCTCAGAGTCCCGAACAAGGACTGGAGCCACACCATGGCCACAGCTCTACTCCAAAGGCTCTCGAATGGCAGAGAGGGATGTAGCAGGCTGGGTGAGTGTTGCCAGGGGCCCTTGGCAAGCTGGGGCAGACTGGAGCCAGAACGGGCTTCTCCCCCCTGACCCAGGGCTTGCCGTAGTGGATCAGCTCCTATCTGTGGCTTCTGGAGCCAACTTGTTCCTGGTTTCAGGAGCCCCTGAGGAAACCAGAAGTTTCTCCACACTCCAATTCCAAACACGGTCTCCGAATGGAAGGTCATGTGGAGAGGAGGCAGCACTGGCTCATTGCGCCATTCCTTATTCATTCAGCTGTGCACACAGAGAACCCACATGGGGCAGGCTAACGGTGTCCCCTCCTGCTTGCAGCCCCGCTGCCCTCCAGTGCCCGGAGGGTGGAGGTGGGGGACAGGCGAGTATGCGCCTCGAGTGTGAGCCTTCCAGGGGTGCCCTTCACCGAACGTCACCCCTCTGCTGGCCTGGGCTGGTGTCCGTCTCCTCCACTGAGGCTGCCCGTGGTCACACGCTGCCCCCACCCTCACGGTGCTTCACCCCGCGTCACTCTCTCTCCTGCCTCATTGCTTGCCCATCTGGCTCACAGACAGGGGAACACGCTCAGACGACTCCTGCCATTAAAAGCCTCTGCCGTCTCGCCTCCCTGTCCCTGGAAGGTTTCTGGGTTGTCAGGACCTGCGAATCTACTTCTTTCCCAGTTCTCTGCAGCCACTCCATGTGGGTTCTGTCCCCGTCATCTTCCAAAATATGCTCCAAAATGCTCAGGCTGCCGCCACCTCTGTTGTCGGGGCTCTGTGCACGGCTAGTCCTGAGCTCCCAGCAGCTCTCAGCCTTCCTTCTCCCTTCTGACCCCGTCCTTCTGAAAACGCAGTTCTTCTTGGGTTTCTGTGACACCATGCCGCCATTTCCCTCCACTCTCACTTCCCTCAAGCGCTGGCTGGCATTTCCATTTGCTTGAACTACCTCCACCCTGTCCACACCCCATTTTTGATGAGCCCATCCACTCCTTTGGCTTTACATCTTGCCCACAGCCAGCCACCCTCAGCTTCATATCACTGGACCTGACCTTCCCCTGAGGCGGGCTGGACAGCTGTCTGCTCGTCTAATCATGCAAGTGGCATGGGAGTCTCGGACATAGCATGCTGGGAGAGAACTTCTTATTTTGCTGCCAAATCTACCTCAGGTTCACCCACTTGGTTGTTTGGGCAGTTTACAGAGTTGCCATTGATTACTCTTGTCCTCACTCCTCAAATCCCACTGATCACCAAGCCCTATTGACATCCTCTCCCAGACACCCCTGTCCACTCTCCGGCTTCATCCACGCCCCATCATCACTAGTAGAGATTTCTGTGCTCACTGCTTGAAACCCTGCAGTAGCTGTAGCTGGCATTAAACATAAAACCCGATGTTTTGGAAAGTGGTTTAGACATTGCTACAAAGCCCAGCAGGGCTGATCCCTCTTGCTCCATCTCTGACACGCCCTAAGCCCTCCCCCTGCAACCACTCTGTTCCTCAGGCTTGCCAAGCTCGTTCTTGAACAAGTCTCTTAGCCTCTTAGGGACTTAGTACCCTCCAGGATGCAGCCTAATGGTCACTCCTCAGAGACTCTCCCTGTACAACCAGCCTAACCCTTCTTCCTTCACTGCCCGTCACCGCATCTGCTCTGCTTGAATGTAATATCTGAAAACATCACTCCCTGGCCAAAGCAAGCTCAGGTAAGGCTAATGGTAAGCTTCCTACATGGGCTCTGTGTTTGGGTGGGCAGCCCTGGTTGATGGGACTACTGGGTGATGTCACTATAGGTCTGGAAGCACAGGCTGGGGTGGGGAGGCCCATCTGTGGAAGTCTCCCTTTGGAAGTTGAAAGCAGTCGGGGTGTCTCCATCAGATGGTGGACTGCCAGAGGACAAGCTCTGGTCTTGTCCATTTTTATAGTTGACACTGGCGCTGTGCCTGGTGTGTAGTGGGGCCTTCATGTGGCTGAATGGGCTCTCGGCTGGGCACCTCTGGGTCTCAGCTGCACCTCTGAGGTCTGCTGGGTATAAACGGAGGTGCGGGTGTGTGTGTGTGGGGTGCCTTGCTGAGCTCCTGTGAACCAGGATGCCTCACCTTGGGAATCACAGATTGGATCCGCTTGATCAGAGTCCGACAGAGCCAGCAGAAGGGGAGAGGGATGGGGAACTGCTGCTCAGAGAGATCCTGGGGAGAGAACCATGGGTGGAGACCCGGCAAGGCACCAGAGGAGGCTCCTCACAGCTCTGTCTCCCCTGCTTGCCCCTCCCCACCTCCTCCCTACACCCAGGCCTCAGTGCCCATTGGCCTCGCTTCTGGCTAGCTCTCTGGATCTCCACCTGGCTGGTGGAGGGGCCATCAGTGTGGGGCCTCCCTCACCTGTGTGTGAGGCCCAGGCCATGACTGGAGGGCCGCAGTCTGCACGGGAAGGACCAGCTGGTTCAGCAGAGGGTCTGGCAGCTCTGGCCCCTGCCCTGGCTCTGGAAACCTGGGTGGGCACAGGCTCAGGTGCTCACAGATGGCCTTGGTGTTCTAGGGCAAATGCAGGGTGCAGGGCAGTTGAGGTGGGAAGCCCACTCTTGCTGAGGCTGCAGGACTCGAGGACTGGGGCCAGTATCTTTGGGCTGGGGTGGTGAGGAGCCTGCTGGATGGGTTAGGGGAGAACGAGGGCAGAGAAAGGGCTGTGTGGGAGCTTTGGGAATGTGTCTGGGAATGTGTGAATAGCTAATCGTGTGTGTTTTTAAAAATGTGTGTGTGTGTGTGTGTGTGTGTGTGTGTGAGGGTAGGCTTGTACACGTGAGTGTGTGGGTTTTGTGACAGTGGGAATGTGAGACTGTGTGTCTGTGTGTGTGTGAGGGTAAGATGAGACTGTGCTTGGACGTTTGTAGACCTGAACACAGCTGGAATCAGGCCCTGGCTGATGGCACCAAGTCGCCGGGCCTGGTTGTAGTCAGGGTCCAAGAGTGGGTGTGGGCGAGAGGATATGAGTGGGGGTGTGTGTGTTGCACAGGGTGGGTTATGTGTAACTCTGGATGTGAGTGGGCATGGGGTGCACTTTGGGGACCAAGTTGGAAGTGGGGTGGGTGGGCCCTCACGATGTGGTCCTGGAAGTAGCTGATGACCAACGGGAAGTAGAAGTCGAGGATCTGGTGGCACTGGGGCACGAGCAGCTTCAAGGGGAGGTCCTCGCACTCACGCTCTAGGAACTTCCGCATCGTGTTCTGGGAGGCCACGGGCCAGCAAGGACAAAGGGGAGAGAATCAGCCTGGTCTCTCTGGGGTCTGATCCCTCCCTGGCCCCCCTTCCCAGTCCCCACATACAGGGACACCACCAGGGCGCACTGGCCACCCCGTCCATCCCAGGGCTCCGGAGCTCGGAGCCGGGGACTAAGTTGTCTGCCACTCCCCCAGGAAAGACCGTCCCTAGCTGTGCTGCTGAGCTCTGGGCCAGGGCCTGCCGCTGGTCAGAGGTACCTAGCGCCCTCAGCCAGGCCACAGCCTCAGCCTGGGTCCAGCCCCTTTACGGGCTAATCTTCTCCCTGTTCTATCTCAAGTCTTGGACTCCAGGCTGTACCCCGAATCTGTGTTTCATCACCTGGAAAATGACCTCCTTGGTTATCTTGACGAGGAGAGGAACGATGGTTTCACATTCCTGGCATAGGTCGTCCTGGGAAGGGAGCCCTAGCGTTGGACTTATGTAGAGATATAGTCCCAGCACAGGTGGGCGACAGTCTTTAGGTAAAGACTGATAGGGTACTCCAAGGCACAGGCAACTGCTCCCCATCCTATCCCACCCC